ATATGGCTGGGTGTCATAAACAGTGGTGTTCGTGCATGTTGTCGAAGTCTGCGAAATTCGTGCAATAAAATCCTAAATTTTCTCTTCGACTCTACTTTCATCGTTGCTGCTTTTCTCCTGATGTTCATTCAAATGGGCAAACGTAAGACAGCAACCAACACCGGTGCATGAAAGTGCATGGTTAATGGTTGTAGTAACTGAAACTGATTATTACGGACAACGATATGAGTATCATTAAATTGAATTACATAGAACGAAATGTTTCATATGGAACAGGTCATCGTAATTCTCACATCCACGCAGGATAATGCATGGAATAGTCTGACGGGAGATGTGAATTTTCTTCAGTTACTATTTTAAACACACTCATTCGATCCAGGAGATCTTTTTCATTTTTGACCGTTTTGAGAAACCGCCAATTAGAATCCAAACATGTTATCCACAATGTGGGTAGTATCTCACCATATTAGCAATTCCAAACCCAGTGTGTGCATGGTGATGGCTCTCACGTGTTAGTCTCGAACTATCCGGGCTGACTTCAACAGTTTCTTTCTATGTTTGCAATAGCTTTAATGGGTCTGTTAACAATGAACTTTTTGTTTCCTGGGCGTGTTGTACGGTCTATGAAACCGGTCAATTTCGCTTGTTCAACTAATAACTCTGGGTTTCTTCATGTTTCAGTTGATGCGTGAATTCTTCAAACCAGTGCACGAATGGGGGCCCGCACAAGATGAGCATCGGGCGGAATTCATCAACATGATCCGCTCAAATGAATCGCTGCGTCGCTCGCGTATTCGGAACACCAGCTCACACTTGTTCCCCGCTACGGTGGGCAATGGAAGTCAGTTACAGCTGGGATTCGGTCTCGGAGGGTCGGTGGTGAGCGGTTTGGCCGGTACAGGAATTATTGATGATACCGGATTTTTCCAGAGTAAACTTAGTGTAGCCGAGAAATTAACTCAAGCGCATACAAAAGAGGTAATGAAACGGGTTGCAAGCAATGCGGAATTCGCCTCCACAGATGCCCTTGGTGTCCTCACAGCCAGTCAAACGGTAAGTTTTCTTATACGCCAGTTGTAGTATGGAAATGATTGATCTAACGGGCATGGGTTTCGGTTTTGTTCACTGCTCTGTGGTAAAAGTCAATCCATGAGCGGCGAAAAGTATTAACGGATGTAGTATAGCCGATGGTGAATGGTGAATTTGTATGAAAGAAAATAAATGCAAAGGCACCACTGTATACGATGTTTGACGTTTAACTCAGCACTCCATCTGCAAATGGCCTGAATTTCTTAAATTGAACCTTCCATTTATGAGTCAAAGAGTCGTACTTGACCAAGTATTTAGCATCTATATATTTTTCAGTCTTTCAGAGACTAATTACTTATTTATCTTCCGACCAGTTTGCTTTACGCCGACCATTGCTCGTTGCTGGTAGTTTATCTGGGGAAATACATGATGTTTTTCCCGGAGAATAAAGCTTCTAATATTCGCGCGCTTTCTCTTGTGTCTAATCATAACCGTTCAATATTCTAAACCCAACCCCAGCGCTTCTGATTCGGTTGTCTTACTTTGAGGGTAGTTCATGGATTCGTTGTTGCGGTCGATCATCCCAGCTCTTCGCTGTGAAAACCGGTATTCATATTTTAGCCATCTTTGGCATTACCAGTCCGGATTCCGAACCATAGACAATATGAACATCGCGTGGAACACTACTAAACTTAGAAAATTTTGTGAAATTTTGTAAAATCTGACTTTAAAGTGAGACGTGGCTGTTCGAGCTCATCCGATTATTCTCTTGAGTTCTACGTAGCATTAGAAATCAGGCCGACGAGAGTATAATGATACCCATTGTTAAAAGGCTTCGTTGCTTCTCATAAGCTGAACACAGTGAAACGTTGGAAGTGGAAAATTGTACGAAGAGCAGGTTTTATTCAATAAGATATTTGTTTGCTTGAATTGGAAAGTGTTGGAATCAAACTCAGGACAGATTAGCAGTCGCTCGGGAAAACATCAGTTGTCATGACGCCTTACTACAAGTGAACTTTTTTCCTTGGGGGTTATGAAACATCAACCTAGATAATTTATTATAGATTGAGTATGACCGGGTTATTTTTACGTGTCTTGATTTCAAAACTATTATATTTCTACCACCTTTGTCTCAACTTTCATCTTTTCCCTTTTTGCTTATTTTTATTCAAGGCGTTGGCGGCTGCTGCCGCAAGTTCTGCAGCTCTATACGCTTTGGGTCATCCACACCGTCACACCGGCAGCGTTCTACAAGTGGAGGATGAAGCAGTAGAAACGCTAGATCCGGCCAATTTGATAAATTTCTCTAAGCAAGAACCTCCAATCACGATCACAGTGCCTCCGGATGGAACGCAAAACATCGATGGGACCAAGCATGATATTGGTGCCGGGGATGTGCAGCGGCATGTGCCTATAATCAGAGAGGAGACCGCAGAGGAGACAGCCAACGAAAGTATGGATAACGAAAGGAAGCCGTCGGAAAACGCGAATAGTTCTGAACCTCAGCCTGCACTGTCTCAATCACAGTAATCTGGCATTAACCAGTCCATAAATAAGCGCTCACTTTGTCCACTCAGCGATTCAACTATGCCCAATGCCCATCTTTTCCCACGTCCTAAACTCATTTCCGTCTCACCCGTTCCATTTTCACAGCTAGTTTCTCATAGAATTTATCTTTCAAAACAAATTGTTTGAGGCTTCTTTTCTCGAACGTTCGGTTGTTCTGTGGTTGTTGATCATTGTCTTAGCCCAGGTAATGTTGATTCGTCGAATCTCATGTTGCGCCTTGGTCTCTCCAATGCATGTCCACACTTTCTGTCGGGTTTTACCTTCGGTGATCCTCCGATGCCCAACCCGATTTTTTTTCTGATTCCGTTTTTTCTCGTTCTTTTTTACTACTTGAATGCACAAACACCAATCCGAACGAGTGAATAAACCGTGCAAATAAATTACTCAACTGTTATTGTGATGATGAATATAAAGTCTTGTGAATTTATAATTTCAGCAGATTGGGTGCAAAATATGTCCATGTGGAAAGTACTTAATCTACTACAAATCAAGGTGCCAACCTGCAGCCGTTCACCTTGTTCTTACTGCTTCGGTTCCTAAAGGACGTCTTGTAATTGACCATTCGAAGTGGAACGTCGTCGTTGCTGCACACAGTAACTTAGAGTCCAGCAAACAAGATTAGCCTCGAAGTTATAAGGAACCATACAAGACATCAACAAGGTATGTAATAGTGGAACTGGTGACAGCTGAAGATCCACCACTAGAATGGAATCATAGTAACGGGGGTTGCAGACACCGGTGCTCGGGGCGCTGCAGTTCTGGACACGAAACACCGCAATGAAAGCTGTTCGGTAATTGTATTTAAAAATAATCCCCAAGCGATATACACAGCTTACTCTGCCATCACCATTATTCCTTTTAAGTATCAGTCGACACAATCACCAAACTGTGCACTGTCGTGGTTTCAGTTGGTGGTTGATCGGGCAATGTGGAAGGAGCAGTTTGAACCTAGGAACACTACAAAACCTTAAAAAGCAAGAAAATATCCTGCTTGATCGCCATTGGAAATTGTTATTTCGAATAACTCTGAACACAGAACACCTTAATAACCTTATTGTCTCCATTTGATAAACTTGCCCCCGGTTTAAGCACGTATTGCGAATTAAGTGCTGGAGACCTTGTAATTTTATGTTGATGAGCTTGGGTTTGACTCCTTAGGAGTTCGTTATTTCTCCACGAGTTAAATGCACCTATATGCAACAGAAGTCCGCATGGTGACCGACAAAGAACACTGGATATCTGTTTCTTCCTGTTTGAGGCTCATCAGCAGTGAGTATATTTTGTGTCCTGGCCTTGACTAGAACAACGAATCCTTGGAATGGGAGTCGAAACCCTTGTTCAAAAGTTAAACGGTAGGCGGTGAACACCTTGAGCGAATGGCACAATCAATTTAAATCTTGTTTGCCCGTTCAATTGTTCAGGCACTGTTGATGGTGGGTAATTACCGAACCCCAAACGAGTGAAACCCACGTCCAAGATTATCACCAGTGCCCAAGTTCTGTGAACAATGGAATGGCTGAACCAAAAGCGACTTTATGAATTGTCGTCTTATTCTTACTTGAGTTCTCTGTCGAAGAACTGCAAAGAAACATGCGGTGCTCTATTTCAGTTGAAGATTTCGAGCGCATAGGAGATTTCGCTAGATGTTTAAAGCAAAATACTTGCTTGCTGACTGTTTGTCGTTCTTTTTCTACATTTATTCTGAAGCCCAAAGAATTAGTGAACTTGTGTCCCTGGAGAGTGAAACCTAGAACAAGAGCGATTGGACTCATTGGAAAATTGACCGATCAAGTCATTGGTGCGTTACAAATGGCTCCATGTGGAAGCGGCGGTAGTGGACCACAGAGGTGACTGGTACCTAGGGTTAAAAAAGATTTTCCGTGTAGCCATTAAAATCCCATATAAGTGGAGATTAACATAAGTATAGAGTTTATTACCGATGAGAAATGCTGTACTTTCGAGAAATAACACGTGCTAAACCGCAGCTGAAAGGAACTACATTAAACAGCTGGAGTTTTCCCTGGGCCCTAGGCTGTTGCCTACACATTCGGTATCTCAACTGGAATATCCTGGCCCGATATAGACGTTCAGTTGACTGATACGCTCACCGTGCATACCCATGACGTGCTTGGTTGTTTGACCGATGCTGTCTGCTACCACACGACGCATGCCATGCAGACTTATTCTACCATAAGGTCAATTGGTCCCAGCCAATCGGATTTGAGTATTAAACTGTCCGCGCTGACTGATTCGTTGACTGACTGTCCTGCTTAACCACATTCGCATGTTAATCAACGCTTGTCCCTGTTGATGGTCTGTCTATCTGCTTACTGTGTTGACGCACTCACCGACCCATAGACTGACATCATGTATACCTACTGCAGGTTAACGTACTGTCCCATTAGCTAAGTGACCTACTCCAACGGAACAGTGGTCACGATGGCCTAATTTTCAGTTCGTATTTGCTGAGAATAATGTCTTTGTTGACAATAACTTCCACCGGTGGCTAACCGGAACTGTCTGTCGGTATCACAAACCTGTCCCACACCGCTTCCCGGAGTATATGACTAGTATGATTTTTTGAATGTATTTAAAATTTTTACAATGTCTTGGGAACAAGCATGGTGCCAAGGAGATAGCACCGGTCGATGTTAAGGGGTATAAATAAGTAAATGGGAAAAAGATCGGGAAGAATAGACCAATTTATTCTTCACTGTACACAGCTGTTTTTTTTTGTTTGATTTCGCTTTTACGGACCACTTGAATTCAACAGACAGGCCGCATAGTATTCACATCAATGGAATTTAGTTAGGGCGAAAAAATTCGTGTCTCTAGGCTACGATAATCCTCAATTCTCGGATCCCAAGCAAGAAAACCGGAATCACTAACCTGNCCCGCCTATGGCCTGACGACCGCGTCGCGTCTATCGGCCCTGCCCATCGCGTACAAAAAGAGGATGAAAAGGTAGATAAACAGATTGGCAAAATACCTCCGCGCAATAGGAGATAATGTAGAGCGACTGCTCTGATCAAAAAGCAGCTAATGGAACTCAACACGGCAATGTCTTTGACACTTTCGATTTGGAGTCCGCACGAGTGTCAGAATATAGTGGTCGGTTGCCTCTGAAAAGCATAGTGGCGCTCTGGTAACGGCTGGGGGTGAAGATTTGATGGACGCACCCACAGCCCGTACAAAACCCAGTGGGTCTACTACATCAATCACATCAACTGACTTCGAAAATAATGTCATAGAAAACCACAATACTGTACAATGGCATCTCTGTGAAATGAATTTTATTCGGTGAGGAATTAAAATTACTCTTAAGCTGGACGGAATCAAGGTTGATTCGATCGGTCTGAGTGTCACAAACGAATCTTGATAAATCTTGGTTTATAACGCCTTTAGGCTAGAATGTTGTTTTACACCAGAGAAAAGTGACTGTAAAAAATATCTGATGAGCGAGTTTATCTGACCAAGTAGGGGTAAAAAGAAGTGTCGGGAGTATATGAATGTTGTTCGGTGAATTTTTACATTATTTGCGGGATGCGCAGAAGAGTAGTTAGAGAACACTAACTATCGTCAGCAGAAAATAACAAGGGGATATCTTCGGTCAAAAATGAGGAACCTTGGCAAAAAATGCATCAAGCTTTGCACGAATTTTCGATTTGAGAGCTTCCGAACAAAATGCCGAATTAATCGAGTTGTGACATAAGCGAATCACGTCCGTTTCCGTCACTCCACAGTACTCCACAGCCATCCGAAATTCGTTGGACAAGCTGGTATCAATAAGACCTTTATCATCCGTCTGCAAAGAATCGGGGTATAGAAAATTGTTTAGACAAAATAACAGAAAAAGCGTATAATGTGTGCACTGACCGCTATCCTTTTAAGGTTCACTCGACCGTATCTCCTAACATCTCACACCCAAAAAGATTGTGTACAATAAGTTCATCGCTTTCACATGTTGAGTGCATTTCATTTTCCAAACATTTCAGTGAATAGGCATTTAAAAACCTTTTTGTCCCTGTGAGAGAACAGATACTTCAACATGCGTCCAGGAGACAAACTGACTACTCTGAATTATGCGCACAGTTGTACTGGTAAGTGAAGATGCAAGATAAGTGCAAACTATAGTGAAAATTTTGAGTAGCGGGGTGGTTGTGTTTGGCATGCGTCTTATACCGTCTCGCTGTTAAATGATGGTGCTCACTCACAAGAACATTGAGAGGAACAATATTAATTTTGCTAATTAGTCCACCAAGGCTTTCTTATGGAACGAAGCTCACACAAAGCATTGTCAAGTTTATTTGGCGTTTTTCAACTTGAACTGTCTGTGGCTTCTATGCAACGTGCGGCTGTCGGTAAAGGGATGAGTGTACGGTGCACAACTCTATCTATCCATGCACATTAAATGACATAGAGACATGGTCAGAAAGTGTACAAGGGAAAAATACAGACTATCAAAGTTCGAATACCGCTTTCTATGAAGCACTGCACTGCACTGCACGAGTAAGACTGAGGTAAGACAAGGCGAACTGGGTAGTTGCATTCGTTCATTATTGCTAGCATTTGCCTTTCGTCAATGGCGATGGTTGGGGTAGGCTACGTGTGCCTCTACTGGCTAGCCCTTCTAGGCGTGCAGTGTTTTTTTTCAAGATAGACAGTGGTTAGGGGAGAGAGCCATTCGAACTGATAAAGAAAACTCACACATAAACAGAGGGGGTGTTCCAACTGGATCCAATCACGCAAGTGATGTGATTCGTAATTTCGTACCGTCTCACAGCGCACATTCGATGTGAGGCAGATTTCTGTGCGGAACAAGAGACAGGAGATAGATCGAAATTCCGAAGCAACCGCGCGGTGCACGTTCAAGTAAAACGTGGATTGGACGACCGAAAAATCTTTATTCTTTAGAAAAGAAGAAAATGCAGTCAGACGCCAGGAACTGTTTTTACACACCTTTGTGGTGCAGACCTTACCCAACGGATTTCCTCATTTTCCCGAACAAGGACTGTACTGAGATCAGATACTATATTAGAAAAGCTAGTCTTTTCAATGTCAAATAAATTACCGTAAGTCTGCAAATCGATTCGCGACCGTTTCAACCATGCTGAATGCCGCCAACCTTCATAGGCATACAATGGATCAAACTCAGGAGCTTGTAGGTAATTTAAGCAACTGTTCAAGATAAAGTCATTGACATTGATTGTCGATTCCATCCCGAATGGGGTCGATCGTTGAGCATCATCGGTTGTACCGGAAACAGATTTTCATTTAGCTCAGTCGCTCATTTTACCGAAAAAGAACTATATAGAAATTCGATTAAAAGTATCGATGTAACATTTGAGTGGTTCTAATCTGCGTCAAACAAGTTACGACAACAAAATCAATTTATAATTTGTTTGTAGGTGCAATACTGTCAGGATTACCAGACTGAAGCAAACGATTTAATCAGGGACTGCCCATTGAAATATATGGTTTAAGCCTAGTCCGCAAAGCAGCGAGGCGCTGTGTGAAAAATGCAGTCCGTTGTGGACCGGCGACCGATTTGCATATCAAGAGTGTTCGATAAATCGTATCGCCCACTCGAGCTGGTGATCTGCACGATTAGGATGTATTGCGGCTAGCTGGTAGATTTCCCTTGAGAGGTTTAAAATCAAGGCTTTCCAGCCCCTCGAAATGAGTTATCTATCCGTGGGAAATTAGGCCGGTTAGAAACGCTTAAACTGAATTTTCATCCCCTAGATTAGGTGAAAACATTTTCTTCGAGGGAAGGCGATAAGTAGGATTCACCCAACAAAGAAAGACGCAATACGTGAGAGTATCCCCTGGGATAATAAGGGAGTTTAGTCAACCGTTGACGAAATTCGAGCTTTTAGAAGTGATAAACGTTAGAGGCAAACGATGCACAAAAAACATTCGAAATCTTTCGACTATTGCGTATATAAGATTTTTTAAGAACTCAACCTGATTGAACAACCAGTGAGGAAGTGGGAGCTAGATGGAGAACAGTGTATAATTAAGGTGTTAGGAAATAAACTAGAGCGTGAACTCCATTGTTTTCCAGAGGAAGGTGTAACGGAAAGTTTTAATAAGCTATAAACCGAAATTCAGTCCATAACGAGCAGAAAACTCCAAATGGAAACCGAAAAGCACAGACATCTCAATCCTGTTGGGTAACGTCGACCGAGTGAATCGACCCCACCATATAGACGATTGAACGGGATACTATAGACAGAATGCAACCAAAGTACTCGCGGCTTTGTTGGCTGAAGAACGCCTTCTAGTCTATTGTCACGCACTACACACTTCAAAATGTACTGTATTTGGAGTTCACGAATTGCTTACAATGTGTGTTGGTGGTTCCTATTGACAGTGGCGTTCTATTTTTGCCCATTACCCATCCATTTAATCTGCTCTTATAAGTAAGACACGTTTCACTGGTCAACATACCATACCAAAAGTAACTAGCTAAAATGGGAACGCCAGAAGAGATCTTGGCTTCAAAGCATTCTCCACTTCCGCAGGAAATTCACGAAACCTAGATTACTGGCATTATAAAATTGATGCAGTTTGTCGCAATGTCTGAACGTGGATGCCTCGTTGGAAGAAAGCATACTAGCTCTAAACAAACACTGAATTCCAAGACCCGCCTCGCCACTTTGTGCATTTTATATAT